ATCGCCTCTCTGATCCTCTAGTTTGTTACTATTAAATGTTCCTCATTCTGTTCTCGGAAACTGTTTAAGTTTAACTAAAACGGCGAAGTGGTGCGAAAGAAATATGGAAAATGCTATTGGATGTAGGCCTTTGAAGGCGTTTAAAAAAGGGCGGAAGTTTGCGTTAGAGGAAATATTTCGAAATGCTCAAAATTTACGCAAGTCAAAATTAGCCTTTAAGAAATTATGTATAAGAGTTTAAGATGTCTTGCCGTCATATCTGTCGACTTGGTGAAATACTTGTCATGCTTTATACATTTTACATGTGTATTTATACCTGTATTGAACGTATATAAAAAATATAAATCCAGTAAATATTTGTATGTACATGAAGTGTTACATTTACTTGTCTCAAAAGTGTGTGTGAGAGAGAGAAAATGGACGTTCGGTATGGCAAAGATAAATCGCGGTTTGTGCACATTGGCGTATAAACTGAATGGTTATTTAAACTGAATAGCTCTATTTAAAACTTTTAAGATGTTGTTCAGGACGAAAGAGCTCCCACCCCTCTCCACGTACCTTGACAATCTCCGACTAGAAAACACCTGATATTGTCGAAAGGCCCATCCGTGTCCCATAATTGCCCGATTTAAGAATTTCTTCCCAATATTAACCAACAACAACTTGCATTGTTTTCAGACAACTCCCGCTGACAGCTCACAGTGAGCACCGACAACTTGCATTGTTTGCAGACAACTCGGCTAGTGCGGCAAACTCGATGAGTAAAGTTAACGCTGAAAACTGTCAGTTGGCACTTATGATTCACTGTGTGCACTGACAAATACTATTATTTGCCAACAACTCACAATGGTATTGACAACTCACAGCATAAACTGACAACGCGTTTAACCAAACTAGTATGTTATCGCATTTTTCTTATACACCTTTTGGCAAAATAAATCTGCTTAAAATTACGTATAAAAGGGAGTGTTATCCCCTTCTGCCCACCCATAGCTCTGAGAAGTATGTTTTTGAAGATACAGAGCAATGCATTTGGAGCATATTACATTGCCCTTGATCAGCATTTAGGCCCCTATTACACTTTTCATAAAAGTGTCACTACCGAATAATCCCTTGGTTTGGTTTGGAAGGTGCTCTAAAATCTGTATCTGCCTATGTAATTAATGGGATAATCTTTTTTTTTTATTTAATTTTCTGAACTTGTCGCGTTTTTCCAAGCAAAATAATTCATTCAAAGTACATTTCCGTGATTGTAAAAGCGGATGGTTCTACGTTTCATTCTCTTTTACTTTCCTTTGTCTTCCTCGGGTTTGAAAGCACTGAAATAATATCAAGTGTCACAAATATTGGAAGCAAAATATCATGTACCGAAGCTCCTAATGGAGTAAAATCGATCTTAAAACACATTTGTTGACACTGTTTTGAGATTAGAAAGTCAATGAAAAGTGGTGATGAGTTTTAGACCCTTGGCAATAACGTCATAGATGAAAATCATATCCGCCAGGGCATCTGAATGGTAACGGCAGGGACATGTTGACGATGGACGGACGAATTTCCAATTGTATTGGGTTATAAAGAACATAGAACTCCTTTTTGTACACGGTTGGCTTTATTTTCTGTTCATTCAAAATTGCTGATAGTAGATAGCCGACAGCCGATAGCCGGTCACTAAAATGAAAAATAAAAATACAACATAATATATTCAAAAGTATAATATAAAACAATGATTCTTATAAATTAAAATAAATACACTTACATAAATTGTGGAGTCTATATCTTATAAAGAGAGTAATGTCCTTCTGTCCTTCTCCAGCAAAGTCAGTGTGTGTGTGTGTGTGTGTGTGTGTCTCAGTAGGTGTGACTGAGTGACCACATTTCACATTTGCTTGACTGAACAGTTTTTGACAATATTTTGTGGATCCCAGAACACCAATGATTTTCAAACTTAGGGGTGCACCCTTAATAAGGTCAATTTTATCTGTCTTTGGTAATACATGGGTACTTTCCTGACAAATGTGCCTTTCATTTTCTTTGGCGGTCTATAAAGTAAATAAACAGCCATTATATACAGCTATCTCTTTTTTGTTTTCACAAGGACGGAATTATAAAGCATTTGTGCATGAGAATCTATAGTTATAACGACCCCACTCACCTCCGCGCATTTGTACTGTCCGTATGTGCTCTTGGCATCTTTGCCAGTATACACTGCATAAACAATGCTTTGCTTTAAATCTTTGTCTGTCCAACAAAGGGCGTTTTGAAGAGATTTGCCAACGCTAACTGTTATTCGGGGGAGGAGGAGGTTTAGGGCATTTTGTATAAGGGCTTTGGACCTCTAGATCTATAAGGAGTTAAATTCGTAATTTACATTTGGACAGGGATGTTCAAACGAAAATTTCTCAAATTATATTTTCTGCTATATGATGTTTTTTTGCGTGTTGCATGATTTTAAAACTCTCTCTCTCTCTCTCTCTCTCTCTCTCTCTCTCTCTCTCTCATAACGGCTACCCAGGCAGGCCAGGGGGGTTTCGGGGGGTTCGAACGAACCGCCCCTTTTGTCAGGAAAAGGTCCATT